TAAAAAATATCTTCTGCTATAATATATTAAAATTTCATCAAATTTGAATCAATAGATATTAAAATATTTAAAAAAAAACACAAACACTTATCAAATTTTTTAAAACTCTAAAAATAAAATTAAATAACTTGTTAATTATACAAGTATATGATTTAAAAATAACATCAAATAATCACAAAGAGTTATAGATTTAGATAAATAAATAAAAGCAAAAATTAATTAGTAAGTTTTTGAGTTATAAGTCAAGTCTTTAAGTGGGAAATTATTTTTGTCACCCCTCTGTATATTTGGCTTATAATGCAAAAAGAATCTTAACATTGAGTTTACATAGTGGCTCGACTGGTTGAGAGAGAAATGTGCATGATTGCACCAGTTGCAACTGTGGAGTGATAGCATCAACCATTTAAGTAGGAGGAAACGATAGTTGGAGATTAATAAAAGACTTATCGTTATCACTACACTACTTTATTCATTGATTGGAAAGCTCTTAGACACCTCTCTCTTTTATTAACTGGTACAGATAGGGCTTTTATACATTTTAGAAATTATAATATAAAATCCTTGGGAGGCTTCGGGCTACCCGTTAGCCTCCACAGCCTAACACAAATTAGTCTCAAGAAGTCATCTTCAAAATAAAATACTTCAAAGGTTTTTGGCGTAAAAGGAAAAAACGTAGATAGTATAAAAATATGAAATAACAAAAATTATTTGTTATAATAAAGAATACTAATTATATTTAAGATAAAAATGCTAGCTTAGAAATTAAAACTATCTTTTTTTCACAAACATATAGATCGTCGAATTTTATATGCTCTGTAATCATTACCCTGAAAGTTTTTGACATTACACTTGACCGATATAACAGATGTAATCTAATTGATAAGTTTAATAAAATAATGGGGAATTTACATATAAAGACCCGAAAAATGAATATAATTACATGTAAGGGCCCAAATTTTGAAAATTTTTACCAAAATAACTTTGAGTTATGATGATAGTGGTTCTTCGAACGTTATAACTATATATGTTAGACGTCACTTTCAAATTTCCATCAAGTGCGTACGTAGTTTCGAAATTGTAAATTAAAGCACTTCATATTTAATCGGTATGATTTTATCGATTTAAAAAAAAATTTCGCAACATAAAACAAAATTATTTTTATTAATTATTGTATTTAACTTCTATTACAATTGTTTAAATCCACATGCTGAAGATTAAACAACTGCTAAGCGCTATATGATTTTTGCATGTACCTTGACGAATACAATGACAAAACAACTCCTACTTTCACAATTTGTTTTATTACAATGAAAGCCATCATTTTTTTTTTAACCCTTGTTCAGTTTTTTGGTTGGATGTTTAATTTGTAATATTTAATGGTCGAGTTAAGTTTTTTGAGCACCAGCATTTCGTAGAAAAATAAATTTGCCCATTGAAATTACATCAAGTTCAGGAAATTCATCAGTACCTAAGGGTTCTAATTTGTTTGCTGAAAACCCATGTATCCAAAATTCCAAACTTGATATTAGTCGCAATGCTCGTCTATCCATTTTTAGCCTATTAATATCAGGAATCCAAATCTTTACGAGATCACCAGGTTTCAAATTTAACACGCGTTTTTTAGTTTTATATCGTTTTTCCATTAAGATTATAAATCATTTGACGGTTCTAAATAACATGTCGATTTGCCACGATTATGTTTATAAGATTTAACATTCAGTCTATCGAGACTTCCAACTTTAATTAATTGAAAGACATTAAGAACCCAATATTTTAAGTTCGAATTTCATGTTTACTTGGATGCGTTTCGTAAAATAGCCAGGCAACGATTATACTTTAAACGATTCATTATATGTCTTTCGTTTTTTCTATTGTTTGAAAGCTTTGAAATGAAGATAAAATAACAAAGATTTTTTTTTTGTAATCAATCTAATTTATTAAATTCTTATCTTAAACTTGAGTTTAATTGACGTATGTACATACGTTACATATTAGTCATCATAATTTTTAAAACCACGTATATTACATTTTAATCGGTATAAATTTTAAACTCCGGTACGTTAATTTTGAATTAACGATTATTTAAGAGCAACGTACAACATATATATATGTATTGATTTATACATTTTATGCGACTAGGTTAAATACGATATATATTGATATTGTAATGTTTATTCGGTTTTAAACTAATATGTTTATCCCGTCGCTATACTAAACTAGTGAATCAATATTTTGTGAAGGTTATTATACATTAATCGAATATATTTCACGGCTAGAACAATAAATCATTTTTGATAAGTATTTTTCAAAAACCTTTGGTGTGATATGCAACCTTTTTAAATATCTTAAAAATATTTTCCAAACTTTTAAATTACCTGTGAAAAATTTATGAAAATATTTTATTGTTCTACCTGTGTTTATTTGTAGACAAAATTAAAATACTTTTAAAAATCAGCAAAAGTGTTTACAATTTTTATATGAAAGGCGTTAAGAATAAATGCAATGCTGATTAAAAACAATACGTTTAAATGTCAAAAGACAATTACATTTATATAATTTTATATGTAATATTTTTTTAAAATTTTAATCCTTATATGTAATTATTTCACTTTGGGCTCTTATTTGTAATTATTTCATTTTTCGGGCCCTTATATGTAAATTCCCTAAAATAATGTATAACTTGCAGCTACATGACGAGATATTATGATGCCAATATTTGAAGAAAACGGTCAATTTTAAGATTATTGGCTATACAATCAGGATATACAAATATTTGCTATTAAATTGAAAGACAAATTAGCTGATTCAATCATAATTTAACTTTATCTAGGAGCGCTACAAGCCCTTAAATCAGAATAGTAGAATTATCATAAAATAACATTTGAAGTTCAAGTTTATAAAGTTAATATAATATTTATTTATTTGAAAAATTTAATCAATGTATAATCAAGTAAAAAGGATCATTATATAAACAAAAATAATATAAAATGATTAATCTGAAGTAGCTGGATCCCATGCTATAGAAAAAAATCAATTAGATAACAAAAATAGAATAATTGCAAAAGTAAAAAGGAATTTAACATACAACTAGCAACAAAATGTTCATCCAAATTATCAAGAATGTTCATATCTTCTTCTTCAATCACAAAATCATACACGATAGTATTATCAGCTATGCGTGTTTTATTTGTACTTTTTGGTAATACAATAAAATTATTTTGAAGGCACTATTGAAATTTAAATTTAATATTTAAATATTAGCTAAAACATATTTTTAATTTTCCATCAATCAATTAATTCACAATCAATATAATAAGACAATTTATAAACTTACCCAACGAATCAAAACTTGAGCAGAGGATTTATTATATTTCTCAGCAATATTAACAAGAACACTATCATTTAACTTTTTTCCCCTGGTAAGTGGAGAAAAGGCCTCTACAATAATTTTATGTTCAGCGCAATATGAAATAATTTCTTTTCGATTATTCCAAGGGTGAATCTAAATATTGATACAATATAACTTTAAAAAAAAATTTCATAACATATGATGATTAAATAAAGAATTTTATTTACTTCAATCTGATTAACGGCAGGCATAATTTCAGGATTAGTATCTATCAACTCCTTTAAATGTTTTACACCATAATTTGATACACCGATACTTCTAACACTTCCTCGCTTAACTAATTCTTGTAAAGCCCTATAACTTTCAATACGTTTTTGAGGACCAGGCCTAGGTGAATGTATGAGTAGTAAATCGATATAAGAAGTTTGAAGTTTTGATAAGGAAGTCTCGGCGGCCATGAGGGTTGATTCATAACCTTGATCTGCATCCACATTAAAATTTATTGTGTAAAAATGATATAAGTTCAAATAAAGATCATATGAACATGCCCTACAGAGTCATATAATCCAGACATTCTGTCTTTAGAATTCTTTTGTATTTCATACTCACCATCGTCCCAAATTTTTGTAGTAATAAAAAGTTGATCACGCGGAATACCACTAAAAAGGTAAAGTAAGTTAATAATGTAATATGAAACATTTCATTAGTAAAAATTTACCTTTTGATGATTCCAATTCCAATGTCTTCCTCATTACCATATCGTGGTGCAGTGTCTATATGTCTATATCCAGACTATATAATTTCAAATTATTTTTAAATCCAAGAGACAATTACCAAAATTTCTAATGTATTACCTCTATAGCCCACAAAATGACATTTTGCGTAATTTCACCTTGGGGAGCTTCGGTACCAGAACCAATACCACCCATTCCTATACCTTTTATTTTAAAGTAAAATATTAAATTCTATATTTTGTCGAAAAATATAATTAACTAAATATTGAGACCTATCGATGGAATTTTATGACCATTATTCAACGTAATGGTTGAAGACAACGATAACCTTTGACTCATCATGAAAATTGGAAATGATAATTTCAAAATTTTTTAATCTGACTAGATATTTTATAAAGGGCTGGGAGAGATATATTCACAATGGGAAAATAAATAATTACATTGGAATTATTTATCATTATCGTACGTACGTACTATTCACTAAACCCTTCAAGCCTTAAAAAGTAAATGATGTGATTTTTATTTTACGTATCTAATATGCAAAAACGTTAATGTTAGATGTATTACCGTCCATTATTGACGATAAATAATTTTGATAGAATTAAAGATAGTGTTGCATTGGATTTTTGTATGATTTAACTATAAAAAATTTAGTTACAGTACTTACAAAACTATTGTGACCTAACTCCCTATTAGCATTTTGTTAACCGATCATTTCTGAATTTAACTACAGATCTATATTTTATTCATGCGAATGGTTTTTTGACTAGCCTTTTTCATCTCGCGTGATGCGCCATCTTTCCTTTTAATGAACAAGGAAATGAGATAATTATAGATATGAAATTTGGTTTAGTGACGGTTATACAATTACGGATCATGTAGTAGTAGTAGTACTAAACAGATCGAATATCTGAAAAATTTGTATTATAGATTCAAAAATTTTTATCAAATTTAGGTTCTATTTTTACACCTTTTTTTTTATTGAACAACGTGATCTTGGAATTTGCAGATTTTTTTTGATTTTTTGTTTTTTTTTTTGGATGAAAAAAACCTTTTTTAAAAAAAAAACCCCCGCTCTTTTGCACACGACTAACTTTAAAAACAAACGACGTTTTTAAAAAAGGTATATCATTCAAGAAATAAATATCCTAAATACGTATGTACTGTACATCAATCGTTAACTCTAATTTTGGGATGTTATTTATGATCATATATGTCTTGTATTCAATAATTTTGTGTTGCGGGTAGTGCATCGATTGACAAAAAAATTTCCGCGCAATTCCAAGAAAGTGATTCTTAAAGTGAATTACGAATAGCAAATATTTATGAAGTCGAATAGTTTATATACACATGATTTAATACGAAAATAATCTATCAAGTGATACAACTTATTGTAGGTAACGTTTCCCAAAACCTTAACTCGAGATATATCACTTATCATTTCACCGATAATCACTTCAGAGTCATTTCACAGCCGATTAATTCACAAACAAGTCTTTTAAAACAATTAATTCATAGACAATTTCACTTCATAAGAAAATTTCTATTATCTTACAGACGAGATCTTTTTAAATTGCACTTACCTAAATTCTATTGTCCTGCCATGTATCAATTTTCAATTTTCACCGATTGAAAAACGACCTTAATTTTTAATGATAACGATAATAATTGCGTAGTATTATTAATGTAATAATAACATTGATATTAATAATGATTATTAATAAAAATAATAAAATTTAAATGTTTTTTTTTGTGTGCTTTGTGCTTTTTATTCTACTTGAATCGACGGTCCTTTATACATTATACTTAATTTGATCTTTTTTCATTCATTATTGTCACGCCGGGAAAAAATTCACACGAAAAGAGGCTTGGCTAAGTATTTATTAGCATCATCAATATTTATGTTAGATGTGAGCCGGAATGAATCCTATAAATGGGTTACTGGATTTATTCCAAATACTACGGTTTCAAAGTAATATAATTCTACTGTAATACAAAGATTTTAGACTCTAAAAAAACTCTAGCTTAATTATCGGTGCCACTGTTGGCGGTATTATTTCTTTAATATTATTCGTTAGTCATTAATTTTTAGATGGTATATTTTTTGTTTCTTTAATTTATATTCACCAGTTTCCTACACTTCATGTAACAGAGCTACTACGTATATTTCTTACGTAAATACTTTAAGTTTGTAGATAGATAATTTAAAACATCTGCAGATAATTTCTACAATATCTACTTTTCCCGAAAAAAATTTCCCTTGATCCGTAACACCATTATCTTACTGCTGTAGTATACAAATTGGATTAAATATATTATTTATTCTATTGGCACAACTCTATTTCGATGTAATATAATATCAGATGTTTCTTTATAATGATTGTCAGTCTTATTCGATCCAAAGGAAGTTGAATAAAGTTATTCTACCTAGTAGCAACCCCTTTGTCTCTTCACTATGGCCAAGTAATATGATAATTTAGGTAAAACCATGTTGGGTTCATTTATTGTTCATTGTTAATGGACGGATATTATTGAATAGTTGTTCTAGCAGAATTATAATATCAATAACATTTAGCTTGAAAGAATGTATTATTCCTTGATTTTATTTACCGTATAGGTCCGAAAATAAGCACCCTTGGCCCGCACTATGCCAATTTTGGGCTGCATTATAATGATTTCGGCCAGCATTACATGCAAAAAAGGGGTGCTTATTTTCGGAATTGTACGGTATTACTCACTCTCGTTATAGTCAAGATTTGAGATAGTGAAAAATTTTAAATTACGGAATTATTAAATTTCAGCTCAATATAGTTTCTCTCGATATAAACTATAATGAAGATTTTCTTCTAATCTCGATGACTTCACTATAACGAGAGTAAGTTGTATCCAAAGCCTCAATCCCACCTGTATAAGCCATTTTAATAAGCAAAAAGACTCTAAGTCTCCCCACGAGACCCGCAAAAGACGAATTTCACAAAAAACAAACTCCATGTGATAAATGGAATTCCCGATAAAGTCAAAGACCCTATTAGGGTAAACTCCTTGGTAAATGATAAATCCTTTGAATCTAAATATATTATTGAAAATTATTTTTGACAACTAGATCAAACAACAAAAGGCAAATGCGAATACTTAGTAGCATGAAAAATTATAGTTGTAGTCGATATTTATCTTCAAACCTATACAACAACTCATGATTGAACTAGATAATTAAACAAGGTGTTTAACAATATGCTATATATTAAAAATATACAATCATTTCAGTCATTTAATGCTATAAAAATGGGAAAAACTGGTAAACTCAGTATAGCTTTGAAATTGTGTGCAAACAGAATAAGAATTAAACAATTACAAATATAGATATACTACAGACCATTTGAAAAAAAAGCTATACAATATATTGTATTAGAGCCTGGGAATCGCTTAAAGCCAGGTATTGTACATCACGAGATTTCCACGGAAAATCAAAATCACGAATCTTTTGTTTACATGAATCAGCCCGGCGAAAGAAAAAGTAAAAAGATACGAAAAACACAAGAAACGAATGTTTTAACCTAGTTTGGTACTTTAATAAAGAATATCGACATATAAAAACTTCCCAATCATATAGCCTATTAAGACCTTAAATTACTCTAAACTTATTTCCATTGATAAAAATATTAATAAATTTTTAACCAATCATGTATTTGCATTTGTTCTACATTCCTGATTCTCGGTTTGATATATAAAAATTTGCTGATCACAGAATTTCAAAAGCACTGTAATGCTAATTAAGCTTTGAGATGTACCCAATTCTAAGCGTTCTCTGCCTGATCGATTCAAATTTTCAAAACCTTATTATGTGCATGTGTAACTTCACATCAATGAATTCCGTTCCTGGTATTCGTAAACTAGCTTCGTAGTAAAATGACCAATAGAGATGCCTGCTGCAAAGTCGCAGCCTTTACATCTTTCAAACTTATTTGTGACCTTTGCGAGCACCCTTTTTTCTACAAAAAGGCGTAAGACCTCAGAGTCGCAAGGTCAAAAGTTAGGCGCAAATATGCAAGATGCAAAAAAATTGCAAATCTTTTGATCGCAAAGTCACTGAGTAGCCATATTCTAAGTAAATTATATATCAATATGAACAAATATATAACATAATAGTTTCTTGATTTAAGTTAATAATTTAAATTTTAATAATATCATATTATAATGTTGTATGATTATATATTGCAATATTACATTATATTATATCGATCTTGTATGTATTATAATATATTGCAATATTATGAATTATGATATATTCTTTACAGAAACCTATGTTTTTTTCTAAATATGTTTAAGATATAGATAAAATTTAGGTTTGATTATGTTATCTTAATAATATCTAACTTGTTATCATATTTTTAACAGCTAATAAAAATTTTTCAAACAAATTTAATGATAATTACTTATAAATTGAAATTATATTTAAAATTTAAAATAGACAAATTATATGTAAAATTGGTCAAAGAATATTTTTTGATAGAAAACAAAACACAGTTTCATAATAAAAATTTGTAGTTATAACCAATTTTTAAAAAAATCTTAATTATTTTGATTTTTTTATATTAAATATAATTCTATATTTAATAAATAAATTGTATAACAAATAACTATTATTTATAATAACAAATAAATTTTTTATTATCATTATTTATTTAAATATTATAATTATTTGTTATTTATTAAAAATATGTTTTTTATATATTTAAAATATTTTAATTATATTAATTTTTTTTTTATTATAATTTTTAATATATTTTAAAATTATTATTATAACTTGGATATTATTAAGATAACAGGAAAAAAATAATATAATTATAATATATTTAATATATGTTTAAAATATATTTATTACATTTTTATTTAAATAATATTATAATAATAAGGTAAATATATAATAATTATATTTTAAACATATTTAGCAAAAAGCATAGGTTTCTGTAAAGTTGTAACATCACGTTATTGGGTATATTGCAATAACATGGTATTATGATACATTGCAACATCACGACATTTAGTGTATTGCAACTTTATGACATTATGATACGTTTTTTATTTGCAAAACTTTATGCTTTTTAAATATAAAATTTAAAATATGTCACAACTCCCATTACAACTTAAAAAGGTTGCAAGCAATACTTGCAGCAAGTAATACTAATGACCAGCTCACATTTACTTCTAAATCATATTCATGCAAAGGAAAATAATGAAATCCTTTTCTTATTTTTGAGCTATAAAATAGAATACAAGTTTTTATTAAACACACATAAGCAGAATTATGCCAGAGATGTGACCTATATAGGCTTGAATTTCCATGAAAATATAATACAACCTATATAATTAACGACAAATTACTAAATTACACATTGTTACAATTTATTGCCACATTATCATGGCTCACAATGTGAAACTTCGTAAGTCAATTTTATTATCAGTTATAATCTGAATGCAGTTTTCGGGTCACATCCTTAATTCAAATATACTTTTTAAAAAAAAAATACGTACCGATTAAGTGCAAAACAATCTAAAATATAACAGAGTTTCCAAGCTGCAATGGTAAAACTATATAGTACTGGATAATTAATACCACTACCATTATCGTAAACTTTAGCTTCCTGATTTAAACAAATGTTGCTTTTACGATCGAATTGATATTTACGTATATCACCATTTATAAATTCAGGAGAAAAATAACCAGTAAATTTAATTCCAATTTTATCTACGCGTTTTGTCCCAATATTATCTACCCATTTTACATCTTCATCCTTCTTTATAAATGCTATAAAATCCATAGCATGTGCATCAAATTTTTCTATATTATAAGGATCCATATTTAATATTTCGAGTATATCAGTGTTTTCAGTTTGATCGAATAGAAATGTAAAAGTTTTAGTAGAATCGCAATAAGTTGGTAATAATTTTTTAGACAACTCTGCAGTATGGTGGTTCGTTAACTAAATTATAAACAATTACAGATTATTTTAATTATATATACTATTTACATTTATATGAAATTATCTCTTGACAAATTAATTTACCCCAAATTTTAATCCAGAGTTTAACTTAGAGATGACAGCTTCGTACATTACCAAGGGAACGAATGTGTTCCATTTTTTGCAAACAGTTCGCAGTGTGCAAAAATCCTCAAAGCTTTTATTTATAAAGATCATTACTATAAAAAATAATTTTAATGAATTTAATTCATAATATATATACGAACTTACGTTGATTCAATTATAATATAAGTCAATATCTGGATAAACAACTCATTAGGAAGAAATTGAATCATTTAAAATTTGAAGAAGTTAGACCTTACCCGTTGTTACGTAATATTAGTATAAGTTTCCTAAATTAGCAGTCAGTGCTATGTATTACTAGATTTAGTTATTTATTAATTAGACGCATTGTAATTACCTTAATTGACGATTGTTGGAGGACAATGTCATTGAGGACGATCATACAATGTCTATTCAATGATTCTTACACATGTACATAAGTGTTAGTTACCCCTTGATGTACATTTAAAGATGTTAAGTGTATAGGATTTAGCCATATTGACTCAGTTTTGAACTTAAAACATTTTGTCAAAATAAAAATCGGTTAAACTAGCTGGTATATTACGTTTGTTAACACATCATAAACTAGTTAACACATCATAAACTAGTTTATTATTCGCATAAGTAACTACTCATAATAACTTGTTTGATTTTTTTATGTAACCCGGTAAGCTTACAAAAAAATAATTAATATTTACAATTGCTATATGTTAACATAATAAATAAAGTTAAATATCTATTGCTCTTGAAAAATACGAACTTCTTTTTATGTGTAGCGTGATATTACTCATCATATCAAATTAACATTAAATAAAAACTTCATTGAGTTAAATTTATATAATAATTTCAATGTATATTTTTAACTTTTAAATCATCTACATTATACAAAATGATAATGTAACATGATACATCACAAATATTTGACTGGGGAGTAAAATGTATAACGATAAGGGTTAATGTATTATGCCATTCGAATCTCTATTTTTGGAGGAGTGTAACGTTATGCCGTTTCGCCCCAAGAATGTATAATATTAATGGGAAATGTGTAACTGATTATGCGTAGCATTGTTAGATCCATATGATGATCATCTCATTACACAAACGCGTGAAATGCATATTTTGTTACAAATTGAACACGCGTACGGACGGACAAAAAATTTCCAACTTATGTTTCTGACATGATCTTCATAATATTTGGGCTGCCGTCAATAGAAATCAAGCAAATCTACAATTTAAAAAGAATTAATGCCTTAACTTTCACAGCTCATATCTCAATGAATTTTAAAGCTACCTTAATGCTTTAATATTCAAAAGAAAGCTTACTATCTAAGCTTTCTTTTGAATTTTAAATAATCAAGATAGCTTTAAAATTCATTGAGATATGAGCTGTGAAAGTTAAGGCATTGATTCTTTTTTAAATGTAGTTCTATTGACGGCAGCCCATTTATGCAGATGCATCAAAAAGGTAAAGCTCGGTGGCTAAATGCATCAAAAACGTAATTTCTTGTATCACTTGGTCCTCCGCTACGCTCCGGAGCAATTATATAAAATACGAAATAAACACTCAAAAAAATTTAAACTAGCCAAAACTGTAAAACGTTAACAAACATATTTCACGGCAATCTTAACAATTATATCATTCTAATAAGAAAATTCAGTAAAGGTGGAATACATTAAAACAAAGAGAAATTAGTGTTAAACACTGGTATGTCTAAATTACAATTCTAGAACATCAGAATTTATATAAATTTTATTGTCAACGATTTAAACGGATTAGGATCCAAATCAGCGCCGTTACGAAAAATTTTCGATTTATATTGTTGACCATTAACTTAAGATATGTTAGAAAAAACATGTGAGCAGTAAATTAAAATCTTGATTATCAATCAATAAAGGTTAATATCTATTTTTTTTTTTTTTAGTAATTGAATATTCGAAACAATTGGAAGAATATTTAAAAAAATACGATATAAAAAGTTTTGATTACTCACAACATAAAAACCGCGAACCTATCGGAAAGGGGGGATATGCAATCGTCTACTCAGCCAGTTTCCAAGAAAAAAAAATATGCATTAAAATGTCTAAACACTAACTTGAGTTTTGATAATAAAACATTCAACAAATTCAAACATGAGGTAATTAAATTATCCGGCCGGTACTATGTAAACACTGACGGAAATAATTTTACATTATTTTCGCAAATTTTTATTAAAATCATGTGACAAATTCTTATTAATTTTGATGTAAAAATCTGTAGAAATAATATAAAATTCTTTCCATAAGTGTATCCGTCATACTTGCCAGATAAACTAGCTATTTGCATGATATACGGATGGACATTGACAGTATAATTGCAACGCACGATGCATTCGGCCACATGCCTTTGCTATTATCCTGCCGATACCCATCTATCCGTCAAATCATGCCAGATAACAAGAAATCATCTAACTTTTTTATTCACAAAATCTGAATTTAATTTTATAGCTTAAACTTCTTTATACGACTAATCATCCTAATATCGTTAAATTCTATGGAATTTCAAGAGGCATGAATTTTTAAAATGAAATGAATTACGGAAGAGAAAACCTGTAAATCAGTTTTCTGAATATTTATTTTAATAAAAACAGTTTAAAACCAAGTAATTAAACCATTAGATTCTAATATTCGAATAGTCTCATTAAGACGATTCAAATGATATTAAATAATAAGTGTTACTTGATTTTATGAGTTTTTTTTATTAAAACAAAAAGTATGATTTACAGGTTTTCTCCTCCCGTCACTCAAATATAACGAATTTTAAACTCATAAATTTTTAATGTTTTAGACGTGACAACAAGTCACTTTATGTTAGTATTAGAATACGCTGATGGAGGTAACCTAAGGCAACATTTAAACAAACAAAAAGAAGGTCTTTATAAAGCTTTGTGGACGGAGATCATTCAGATTGCATCAGAAATTACGCAAGGCTTAAAATATTTACACAATAAAAATATCATCCATCGGGATTTAGTAAGTTTTATTTTTAAATATTGAAGTGACAATAATTTTGTACTTATGTACTCTGTATGAATATCTAGCATTCTTTAAATATTTTGATAAATGGTGGCAAAGCCTTAATTGCGGATTTTGGAATATCTAAGCAATTAAATGACTCAACTGCTACTACAAGTTCAGGTATGAAAGGCCTTCCTGCATATATTGAACCACAACCCTACATTCAAATTGAACAAAAAATGGTCAAACGCGATGAAATATCTGATATTTATAGCCTGGGTGTATTATTTTGGGAGCTTACAAGTGGAGTTCCTCCGTTTGATGGATTTGTAAATGAAGCAATAGTTTTAAAAATTTCACGAGGAAGGCGAAAGAGAGAAAACTATCAAAAATACACCACCAGGTTCTAGTAATCTCTATAAAAAATATTGGTCTTCTGATCCGAACCAACGTCCAACATTAGATGAAATTTTATTCGAACTTGAGAAATTATCAGCAAGATCAAGTGTTTATTTCATTACAAATAACTTAAACCAACAAGATACAGTATATCGACACAGCTAGAGTTCGATCCTGTTAATTACACTAAGGACACAATTTCTATTATCTCGAGTAATTCAGGAGAGCATAGTCAGTATTAATGTATTATTTCATAAACTTTATCAATAATATAATTCACTATTAACATCAATGCCACAGGTGAAAATGATGAAACGGATTTCATTTCTATTCAAACGAATAGTCCTGGAGAGTATTATCACGGGTTATACTGGAACTCCCGTGTACCGGTGGGTCTTTTCTATTTATCTTGACTCGCTTGGCTATTCTCTGCGAAGACCGTGTATCGTACAGGTCCTTCCACCGGAGTTGTATACACACAGGTAATGGTTTATTCACTAAGCACGAAACTTATTACTCACAAAGGTCGAATATCAAAGCTTACAACTTCCAAAGCTTGGTTCTTTCCCTTTCGGGATCGATACCTTATATATTATTACTAATCGCTATTCAGCGTCACTGATTATTAAATATTATCTCATCGCTCATGCAATCAATTATTTAAACTTTTAATTATTTCTCATGCATAACCCCGAATCACGCCATTCATGCAAATTGGGATCATGACCCGATCATGATCCCTTGACCTGACCCTTGCGCTACGAATACCCGGGGCACCAATGTCGACCACGACAAGTATGGTCAGTATTAATGTTATCACTATTTTTTCCGATAATTTATCAATAAATGTAACTACTATTAACTCAATGGTCATAGATAAAATTAATGAAAATTTCAGCAAGTTAGTATATAATTTACTCTATTTATTTTAATATTGATGACACAATTTCTTTTAACCAAACATGTACACGTATTAAATAAATTTTCTTTGTTGAAGTATTGATTCCATATCGGCCCACATAGATCTTGAAGAGAATGATATGAAATTTGCTGAAAAATTGCTACATGGAAAGTTAATAAAATATTGCCCCATACCTTCGGAGATATTAGCAAATACATCAAAAATAAACTCTGAAGAGTTTACATATTTGAGATATACTGCTTGCATTAACTAGTCATTAATACTCCGTCAAACAGAATATAGACCTTTAAGACAAATTGAAATACTTATTTTAACTAGCTACATACAGTGTGTTACTAGAATTTTAAGTTAGTTCTGTAACAGAATTTCTTATAGAGTGCACAATGTAGCTCAACCACGTAAGTTCCGTACTTATCAGAATTTTTATAGTAATGCAAAATAGAATCAGATACGAACCTAACTTTAACCAATTCTGTGTGTTAACAGGATAACAAGTTCTATAATGGTATCTTTTACAGTAGCATATGATAGAGTTCGTGCTAATTCCAATACAAATTAACACAATCTTAACTACATGATGTGTGTCACCAGGATAGTGGTAAGTTTTGTAATAATTTATTTATATATTAATGCATGATAGAACATAATTTTTTACAGATAATTTCAATTACAATAATACTATATGTCACAACAATAAGGAGGTGGGGTAGCGCTTCGCGCCACCTGTTACGCTAGTACTTAAAAAAATATTGAACAAAAGAATAAAAAAAAACAAATATTCGTTAAATATCATTTGGAAATTCTATATCGATACCAACAGAAGTACTAAGATTTAGTTTTGATAATCTTTCACTAATCTCCAATGTGTTAAATGGTTTGCTAGTGTATATATTTTTTAGCTCATCTTTAATTATTGTATAATTTTTGTTAATCTTATCACTTTCTAAAAACTGCTTTTTAATTTCGTTTTTATTCAAAATTTTCAACCGTTTAAGATTATTTTTATTCAAAATTTTCAACCATTCATTTAATTTAGTAATAATTTCATCAGTAGTTGGCCGTTTTTCTGGATTTGAATCCATGCATCGATTTGCTAATTCAACATAATAATTAGGAGTTCCAATTCCAAATTTTGGTCGCAACCCTTTATAAATCATAATCACAAGATCCATATCAAATTTATGACTATCAAAAGGTCTCTGTCCAGTTGTCATTTCTACCATGATGATTCCAAATGAATAAATATCTGTTGATCGAGTGTACGGTTTTCTTTGAAAAACTTCAGGAGCGATGTAAGGCAAGACACCTTGAATATGTTCTTCATGCTCTTTCTCATCAAGTGGTTTTGATAAACCTAGATCGGTAATATATGCTTCGTAATCTTCTTTTAACAAGATATTTCCCGGATGTAAATCTCGATGTAAATATCTTTTATAATGAATACGATTAAGATTAGATATAATATAATGAAGTATCTGTAATTTAATTTCCATCCAAACTTAAAGATATCAGCAAGATTTTTGCTTAATGATCAATATTTTGCATAACTCGTTACTAAAATATAATCGTCCGTTTTTTCGTCTCTTGATATTCCTAGATATTGTTCTAAGCTATGACAAGCTTTTAACTAAAAAAAAAACAAAATAAATTATTTTATTTAAATTATTTAAATAAAAATAAATTAATAATACCTCTTTTAAGAATGGATCTTTATTCTTATTAGAACCTTTTACGATCTTGATTGCTATATCTTCATATGACCCATATTGATTTAAATATTTTGTTCTAAAAACTGTAGAAATGCTCCTTTACCTATTCCTTCGATATTTTCAAATTTATCATATGCCATCCAATGAAAAAATTCTGACTATGACAGTAACTTTAGCTTGTTCGGTGACAGCAGATTTTAAATACCATTCGAAAGCGATATCTATATCCTCTTCAACAGCAACTCCTTTTCGGTAATATTCACCAGCTTCATACATTCCACCAGGATATCCCATCTCTGCTGATTTTTTAAAGTATTCGAATGTCTTATGATCATATTCTTTGACTCCCCATCCATAATTATAACTCAAATATGTTCCAACAAGATCTCCCATTTCTGCTGATTTTTGAATGCTTTATTATTATTAATTTCAACTCCACATCCAAGTTGATAACAATATCCAACCCAATTTGTTCCAACAGCATCACCCATGTTTGCAGCTTTTTGATAATATTCAAATGCTTTTTGTTTATCCTCTACAACTCCAATACCAACTCGATAACAATTTCCAACTTCCCGTATTCCACGAACATAACTCATATTAGCAGTTTTTTGATAATATTCAAATGCTTTTTGGTCATCCTTTTTGACTCCAATTCCACATTCATAACATTTTCCAACCTTAAATATTCCTGTAGTATCGCTCATATCAGCAGCTTTTTGATAATATTCGAATGTCATTTGTTCATCTTTTTCAACTCCGATTCCATATCGATAACATTCACCTAAAGCACATAAATGACCCAAATCAGCTGCCTTTCTAAAATATTCAAAGGCTTTTTTTCTATCTATTCCAATATAACGACCATCTATATATTTTTGTCCAAGTTGATAAAGTTCTTCAGCATTTTGATTCATTGTTATTTTTTTAATAAATAAAAAAGAATAAAGTTTTTATTATAGTTGCTTAAATCAAGTTGGTTAATTGATTGTAACAATTAACATTCTTTAATTGAGGGCAATTATCAATCTTCAAGTTGGTTAGTTGAATAATACTTTATTGATTGTTTTGTTGTACTACTTTATTGATTGTTTTGTTGTACTAATTTAGTTGTACTCAAACGTTGCATTATCATTATGTTGAAATAATTATTAATTCAAACAAATAAAAATTTCAACTTTATTTATGATGCTAAAATACGCTTAATTTTCAATAGTAAAATTTTCTTGAATATTTATTCAAATTGTTCAAATTGTTCGAACTGTTTAAAAATATGAAATTAATTGTGAATAGATTATCACCCGTATACAATATATGCGTATACTGCGGTTGAACAGATTTGATCTTGTGTAATCCGTATTACGTATGTACGTATACGGATTGGGTTTATTAATTTTTCCACTTCACTATCGCTATCGGCACAGATACTCCGATATGCGAATAATTAGTAGAACCAATCAGAAGTGATCGTGGCTAAATCGCCATCAAAAAAAATTTTCATCAATTGCGTGATACAAGGTTATGCAACTAAAAAGGACCGAGAAAACTCTACGTATTATAGGTCCCCGCCACAATAACATTCGAATACTACTATAATTCCTCTATAACTGCAGATTTTGAATGCCTTATGTTCATCTTTTCAACTCCGAATTCCCTTACATAACGATATTCTAACATTACATATTCATCTAGCGTCTACCATCTCTGTGGATTTTTGATAATATATGAATGCTTTATTTTCGTCCTTTTCATTTTCAATTCTATTTTGATAACAATATCTAACCAACACTTTATTCACTTTAATTTAATCATAGGCATATAGACATTTATTAATCTAAATTTAAAACAAGCCATTCGAATACATGTATATTTACAATTTATTCACATTAATTTACCATGCGAATATAAAAAATACTTATTAAACTAAGTATTTTAGAACAAACTACTCAACTTAATCAACATTTACTATTTAATTTTATTATATTCGCGTAAAGAATATTTATAAATTATAATATGCCAATAAAGCTATTCGACTTCACAAATATTTATAATTCATAATGAAGTCACAAATAAATATACATCGAATATGTAATTCAGGCATATAATTGAAGAATAGATAAATAGAAGAAGAGAAACTGGGTGTTTATATTAGAACTTATAATTATAAATACTATTGAATAGATATCATAAGCTAATAAGAAATGACAGGAATTTTGACATGAGTGGTACAATAGGATGCCATTGGCACCTCATTTTCTCTTGTGTAGAACAAACAAAATTATAACAAAAGGTAATAAAAATTTTAGTCTAAAGCCTGATTATTTTTTAATTTGTGTAGATTAAAAAGTTATAACAAATTCTAAAAAGAAAATTTTAATTATTGAATAAAAACTTTAAAAAATAAATAATTAAAAAAAAATTAAAGTACACAAAAATAAAATAGGATTTAACCTTCTCAATAAAAATTTATATCTGTTAATAAATTCTTACTGCTGTTAAGTGCATTATAAATCACTCAGTAATGGTTGTAGTATTAGATTATTACTCCATTGTTCTAATTCCCTTATACTGCGTATAATAAGATTTAAGCGAACGTATAAACTACGTATCTTTAATCTCTTCACTATCCTGTAAATTATGCTTATAATCATTTTAGCTTCAACTTTTACTACAATTTCTTTATCTTTATTATATCTATTACCTCATTAATTATTTTATCTTATTCTTTTTCTTCTTTGCACTTCAAACCAGTTTTGTATCTAATGCTTTTGCATATACATTTTTTTTGATTTTTAAGTGCTTCTTTTATTTTATCTATTATCTTTTTATTTTTTGCTCCCTTTAGTCGGTCAGCTATCTTTGTCAGTTTTTTTTTTTGACAAATTATCTAAACCGTTATCAATTATCCTTATTTTATCCATAAATAAATTATAATTCAAAAAATATGATATTAAAGTTTTGACTTTTTCAGGTCTATCATTAGAAAAATGGTCAGCTAATCTACTAGTAGGTATAGCACAATAAGCGAAGACAAATTTTGTAATAACAGGATCATCACTAATTAAATATCTTAATGTTACAGCTGGTTAAATAATTAAACCAATAATGATGATTCAGTTAAGGATTTTTTTAACCTCTTATAAAAATCCTGACTTTCATAACATCTCTGGTCTCTAGGTATTTGGAAGTAAAGATACAGACAAGTACGAAAAATAATACATATATTATAATCGCATTTAGATCCAGAGGTGCTTCTACAATAAGCGGGTTCATAATTAATAAAGTTAAGAGAGGAGGAGGCACCACCGATAAATAATATATGTTCCATCATTGAAATAAGAATAAAAAGATATTTAAATTTTAAAAATAATATCTTTTTTGTCTTTTTCCGCATTTGGATCCCATTTCCAGAAACCAAATTTAATTTTTGAACCATTTTTAGACTTACAATTGATATAAATTGGAATGAGACAAAAAAAACAATAAAATATTATAACAATTCCAAATTGTGTTAGGCCTTTGTGAAAAGGAATATATTCGGAATCCTATTTGATAGAGCTAATAAAAGAATAAATAATAATAGATGAAAAGATAACAAAATCATAAAAAGATTAATGAATGAAACGGTTCTTTTTTTTTATTTTCAACCCCTTTAAAAAGGGTATTATCACTGATGCACCTATTATATCGTGACAGAATCGACGGCATCTTTTGTTGGATTATAATTACTCGACATTATATAAAGAATGCATCAATGTTATTTTAAATATAAATTTCAGATTTAAAAGTACAAGAAATTTCTTTAACTTTATCAATGTTAAAATTCCATGGAAATATGTACATAATGCAAAAAAATTTTCATACGGTGCAGGAAATCTAAATACCTCAAACATTTATATTGAATAAAGATCAATTAATACAGAATGGTTGCCATTAAGGACGAACGTACGGTTCATGAAGTATAAAAACCACAAGTATGCATCTCATAAAGATAAAATACAAAGAGTGAAGCTAAGGACGTTCTCAAGCACTTCACTCAGTGGATTCAACAAAGAATATGATTGGTATATATGATAAAGCTGGCCAATCAAATTCCTTATCGAATTCATTGAAAACGTACGTACGTACGTACGAACATACTTGAGAATCCTAAACATTTCCTAACTTTATATTGTAATTATTATATACAGATTACGCCAAACAGGAAAACATAATTTCTATAGAGTTTTTTATAGTTATTGTATGTATCTGGTGTAACTAACTTATGCAATACCGATATCGATACAATAATATACTATGTACTGTCACGGGTTTCCGCGACTTGAGATTGGGGCTTAAAGTTTTACGTTTTTTTTTTATTTATTATTTATTTTTATTTCATTATTTGTTTGTTTGTTTAGTTATACGATAGATAGAAAGGGCTGATAGATTGCGAGCAAAATGCGCGCAAAGATGAAGCCTTGATTGGAGGCTTTTAGATCGCGAGCAATCTACTCACAAGGGGTAAAATTTGGGAAGATAGTAAAAAGCGCAGTAGCTCATAATGAAAAAGAATGTATTTAAAGGCCGTCATTTTCGTTAATAAAGTTTTCCTCAGACTTCGATGTCTTTAGAAAGTAAAATAAGAATCGACTTCTCATTGTTAGTAAGAAACTGTTCAGTGAACGTTGAACCTTTTATATTTATATATATATATATTTATCATTTTATTATTTCTATTTTTTATTTATTTTATTTTCATATGTTAAGCATATACCCTAGAATTATTCCTAAACGCTACCTAATCCCTAATCTCCTATCTTAGATTTTTATCACACCCAAATAAATAAGGTATCCGCCCAATTTCTTAGTATAGATCTGTCCTATTGTTCCATAATTACCTTAAATTATCCCGTCAGCCTTAGTTTACCCTTTTTGTACATCCTTAAATTACGTACATAACCCAAACTTGGTCCAATTTAGTAAGAGCTAATTTATAGCCCTCACGTGTTTAAACTCTTGACGAACAATACATATAAATTCCTTTAAGTTTACTATTGGAGCTGAATTGCCCCGTAAATTATTATCGCTCTCCCAAACAATAGTAACAGTACGTATGTAATGTCAAACGAATATGCGCGCAGCATAATATAGCATAAGCCAGTAATACAGTAATCAGGCGATGTAATTCAAGATAATTAAAGATATTACCTAGAAGTCTTTATTATAAAGGAGGAATCACTCGAAAAACACTAAAGGACAGCAAGTTACTTAAAAACATGAAGGGAACCCGCAATCATCATTGAACGCATTTGAATAGATTTCTTTTAAAGGTTTGGGGAAATCATACTAATACACAATATAATTGAAAATCACCGCAATGTTTCTACAACATTCAACTATCAAAGATGCGATCAAACATTCCCATTAGTCCTCCAACATAATTGGCAGTTATCATTGGCTGAAAAAAGGGAGATCTATCAATCATACTTAAAAATTTCCGACGTGCGACAATAATAAAAGACAAGATAGTTAAACATACGTGGGGTAAGTATAATATTAATACATTATAAGAAGAGACAATTAAGGAAAATGATACTAATACGTAAGTAAAGGAAATGATAAATAAAAATAATTAAAAAATAATTAAATATTGGGCGCAACAAATATCACGAAGGCAACACCTGTGGTTCCAAATAGTTGTTAACTCCTCCCGGTGGTTAGTGCCCAACTCCGATGGTTATAATCAACAGTCAATCCATTTTGATTGCTTACCAACCCGTAATACAAGAAATTATGCAGCTTTCCATATCCGATATCAAGCATAACAACGTACATACATACCAGATACAGCACTGTACGTACGTATATATGATTTACATATCAGGTGTGTAAGTTTGTAACGGTAGACAGTTGCACAATCATGACAGCCAAGTTTTTCGAACAACTTTCTAGTAATTTGAATGAACTTCTTAAAAATAATGACGAATATAATGTTATTATTGAAGTTGGTCAAGCACCAAATATTCATGCATTTAGAGTACATTCTATTATCCTAAATTCTCGATGTTTATATTTTAAAGATAAACTAAAGTCGATTATTTCCAATGACAAAAATGTAAAAATATTGAAGCAAGCTAATGTTTCCATTGAAGTATTTAATATAATCATCAAGTAAGTATTAATAAAAATGTAACATATAATATTAAAATTTTAGTAAAAATATTAATATAATATATACATAGGTATATTTACAGCGGTATCATTTCCTTAGAAAATATAAATACTACAGTCATATTTGAACTTTTAATTGCTTCTAATGAGTTTGGTCTTGAAGAGTTGATTAAACATATCCAGTTATTTTTACTTGAAAATAATGATTCCTGGTTACATTCTAACTTTTCTCGTGTTTATCAGGCTAGTTTTAAGGAGAATAATTTAAAGGATTTACAACAATTTTGTGCAAATATTATTGCTAAGCATCCAAATATTATTTTTGATTCGAATGAATTTCTTACTCTTTCTGAAAGTACTTTAATTTCTATCTTAAGAGTTGATAATTTACAAATAGACGAAGGAAAAATTTGGGATTATATTATTAAGTGGGGAATCGCTCAAAATCCTTCTTTACCTCCTAACCTTGATCAATGGTCTGATGAACACTTCTCAGCTTTAAAGCGATCACTACAAAACTGTCTTCCTTTAATTCGTTACTCCCAAATCTCTGGTGAAGATGTTGACAATGCTCGGCCTTATAAGAAAATCCTTGATTCAACTTTACAGACTGACATTATGCTAAAGCTTATGGCTACAAATAATTCTATTACTTCTTCCCATACTGATTTATATAGAACGCTATCTTCACGAAATTGTATTCCTATTGCTAATAATAACGCTCCAGAGAATGAATCAAATAAAGCCAAATCATTAGAAATTGAACAAAATAATGCATTTACAGTAGAAAACCGTGGTGCCACTTATGCTAAAGTGAAAATATTCGGGGAACCACCCATAGATACAAATAATTCATTAGAAATTGAACAGAATAATGGAATTACGTTAAAATATCGTGGAAAAAACTATTATCGTGTGAACATTGATGAAGAATCACTTGCAGATTTAATCAAAGCATTCAAAACAGAACAAAACAATGCAATTGCATTAAAGCATCGTGGAGATACCTATCTTACGATGGACGGATATGATGAATCGTTAGACAATACACTTGCATTAAAAATTCGTGGAGACACTTATCGTTTAACGAATAGATATGATGGATTAGCCGCGGATTTAAACAAGTCTTTAGATGGTGCGCTTGCATTAAAAGTTCGTGGATGCACTTATCGTATGATGGGCAGATATGAAGAAACTCTCTCAGATTTAAATAAATCATTAGAAATTAAACCAAATGATGTGTTTACACTAAAAAATCGTGGGGAAACTTATCGTATGATATGCAGATATGAAGAATCTCTCGTAGATTTAAGTAAATCACTAAAAATTAAACCAGATGATGCACTTGCATTAAAAATTCGTGGAGATACCTATCGTTTGATGGGTAGATATGAAGAATCAATTACAGATTTAAATAAATCATTGGAAATTGAACCAAATGATGCGCTTGCACTAAAAATTCGTGGATGCACTTATCGTATGATGGGCAGACATGAAGAATCACTCACAGATTTAAATAAATCAGTAGAAATTAAACCAAACGATGCGCTTACGCTAAAAAACCGCGGTGAAACATATCGTATGATGTGCAGATATGAAGAATCGCTCGCAGATTTAAACAAATCATTAGAAATTGAACCAGATGATGCATTTGTATTAAAAGTTCGTGGAGACACCTATCGTCTGATGGGTAGATACAAAGAGTCTCTTGTAGATTTAAATATGTCATTAGAAATTGAACCAGATGATGTATTTGCACTAAGAACTCGTGGAGATACTAATCGTCTGATTAACAGATATAAAGAATCACTTGTAGACTTAAATAAAGCATTAGAAATTGAGCCAGATGATGAAATTGCATTAAGTTTGCGAGGCATAATTTATCGTATGTTGGGGAAATATAAAGAATCACTTGCAGACTTAGATAAAGCATTAAAAATTGATCCAAATGACGAAAGGATACTGGATCAGCATAGAATAACTAATAGGTTATTGAACAAATAAAAAATAATGTGGATGGCTTGTATTTAAAGGGCCAATTTTGACAAACAATTTGAGTAAATCGATGTAAACATATATAAAATTTCAACTTAAAGTTCATTTTATGAACCTTTTTGTCATGCAACTAGCTTTTGTAACTTATAGCAAACGTTTTTATTGAATGTATATCTATTCAAAATAAAATAAAATTTTTAAAAATTTGTCAAAATGGGCCCTTTTAATAGAGGCACCCATATACGTATATATTATGCAATCCAGATACGTATTAGAAGCTAATCATTCATTAGTTAACATTAAGCATCTCAAACCTCGATAAACTAAGCTAGTAAATGTTCAGTAATTTGGTTTAGTTCGCATTCAAATTGGAATTGACAAATTTTTTTTAATTTTTTAAATGTTTAACTACATAAAACTATTTTTTTTGGTTCCCATAACCTAGCTGGCAAAATTTGCAAACCTTCAAAAAAATTTTGACTATATTTACTATCCTGATGTTTTTTCTTTTGCTATATTTACTATCCAAGTGTTTATAAAAAATTTTCTTGCTTTTTGTAAATGAAATTGATTAAAATTTAATGTTATAAGAGCCAAAAAGAAATTAATTTTGTTAATTTAGCTATCAATTTTTCAATGATTAAACCTATGAAAAAAACTGATTATCTAAGCAAGTTAAAAATATTAAAAACATAAACAAGAATTTTTTAATATATAATCAAGTCAAATAGGCACAATTAAAATATTAGACACATCCACAAGCTATTTATACATGTCAATTTTGAATCTTTCGATATTTTCTAACTGGAAATAATATTTATTTTTTTTATTTTTTATTTTTTTAACGACACTGCCTCTTTATTACTCATTGTTGGAAATATACATTATATACATTATGTTTTACAAGATTTTCAGTCCATCTTTTTATGGTAATTTCTACCCAGATGTCCCAGGTCCCTCCCCCTGCGGTGTTTCAGTTTCTGAATTTCTATAACCAACTTGAGTGAGATTTACCAAACCTTATGGCCTGATATAGTTGTAGTTAATTCCTATTTACCTCACCATTGGTTAACACATACCATGAAGTTTGCTTACCCTGACTCCAGATGCTTCCGGATCATTGGATAGTAGGATATTCCCATTTTGCTAGATACCACATGTCTCACACATATATTTATCTAGATTTTAGTAACCTACGCCATGGCTCTACCCATGCACTTGGGGTTAGGGCTAACCATTGAACTCTTGCGATTACTTAGGAGAGTGCCATTTATTACGTGATATTTTTTACTTAGTAGCCATTCCTATATATGTATGATGTAATCACTTTGTCTAATTTTGATTAGTTAATATCATATATAGACATGATCACTATCTCTGACCATATATCTATGATAAAAATCACATGATAAATAGCATGCTTCTTACTTCTTGCCTTTATTTAGTTCACAACACCCCCAGTAACCATCTTTTTACCCGGATTCTTTATCAGTCTCTCTCTTACTTCTAGCTAGCAACCCAGACGGGTTGGTCTACCCAAACTTTAGGTGCCTGAAGGACACCCTTTCCTTGGTTTATACTTTCAGAGCATATGCCCTTTTCCTCTGGTGCATCAGCCTGATAGTTTAGCTAGTGTGTCTCCCCACTTAAAGACCTGATTGCTTGGTTCTCTGATCTCAGACCCAGTTCAAATTTAGCCCTCTTGTAGTACTATCAAAGATCACTGTTACTTCCAAATTCAGGACTTCCCAAATAGGTTTTCAGTTACGCTGGTTCCTTAGATTTATTGCGCCAAAGCTCCCATTTCTAGATGGTGTGACTGAAGTTACAGATTAAGTTTTAGATCCAACCAATAAGCATACTGTTAACTGAAACACAAACCTATTTTTCAAATATTGTCGTCTGTGGAATTTGAACTCTAGACCTGCCACTTGGAGAGGGTAAAATAATATTTATTTATTACTGTATATTTTTAAAAAATAATATGTTATTATCATAATTGTAAAAATTTGAACTATTAAAACATTAAACTAATCCCTATAAAAAAGATTTATACAGTATATGTTATATTTTTGTTCAACCTTATACAGTTTATGTTCAATATGGATGCAATATTGTACAATGTTTGTACTGAGGCGATAAATATGATTTATCGATAATTGTACAAAAATTTATGATAGTACAAATTTGTTCAATAATTATATGAAATATTTGAATAATAATATAACAATGTACTAATAGTATAAATATAGTACAAATTTGTTCAATAATTATACGGAATATTTAAATAATAACATCATATTGATATGAAATATTAAACTACAATTAATTACTTGCTGTATATATCGGTAAGTTGACTAATACGGTAATTATGCAATAATAATCATATAAAAATATGATAATAATAATTAATAATTATGTGATTTTTATTATCATTATTCATTATTGTCCACCTCTTTATCTATAATATAAAATGATTTGTCAATTTTAATAAATCCTACACTATGATCAATAGCCGATGCACTAATAAATACATATGAGCCTAATCTGTTAAATTTCTTTACACTAACATTGTCCTCTTCAATGGATAATGTCCATTGAATATAAGCCAGCATTACTTTAGATTCTTTGAATTCATAAAGTAGATAATAGCATAAAAATTTTGTACCTTAAATACTGATGGTTGATTTAAATAATTTGCATAAATATCAACTTCTATTTTGATGAGAACAGTATAATTAATCCGAGACTAATTTTTATTCTGACAAATCCACTTTGACCCAATATAATGACTATCTTTAGTTCGGAATTGTCCATATTTTGTTCCTGTTTGGCTAAAAGATCTAAGTTGTATGCCAGATACATCTGATGTAGTGGAAAAATGCTGCTTAATTTTTCTCAATTCACTTTCTGTTAATTTATATTCAGTTGAAGAAAAATAAAAGTCTTGATTATTCCCGGTATAAGCTAGATGCTCATCATATATTTTGGGTGGGATTTTTGGAAAAATTTGATTATAGATTGCTTGATTGAACTTTAAACAATTAAAAATTTCAAGTATGTGAATATTATTAATAAGGTTTTTATATGGATATAGTCTTGATCTTGTTAATAAAAGCAACATTCCACATACTCTTTTAATCGGGTATTGCCATGTCATACAACAAGGCTCTGTTTGAAAAATGCTTTCTGATACATGTAGCATATTATGTATGCATATTTTCATTGTACTTAAATAATCTAACTCTCCACAATAATACTCCTTTTCATAATAAATATAAAATACCAGAAGGCATGATTGAATTTTAGTTAAATCATTATATGGAGTTGCACAGGTCGAATATATGAATAAAGATTAAATAACAGAAT